CGGAAGGTCCCTCAACCTCTTCAACATGATGGGCTACCTCAACTCCTACAAGGGGACCTGGGTGCTGTGGGCGACTCCAATGATGTTTGGGGGGAGGCCAGAAATGCAGATCAGGGGGAGGATGTCATGAGCTTGGCCTATTCGCCGGATGAAATGCCTCAAGATCAACTTCATGAAGGCGATGAACATGGAAGTGAGAAGGAAATGCCTGCCCTACTTCGAGCAGTGTGGGCAGGGGGGGAGTGCAATCCCACTTCAATGGAAACTCCAAGAACTTCAATCGAGTCTTTGCCTTCCACAACGACCTCTGCGGCATCGTCGAAGAAGCTTTGGGAGTGTGGGAGTTGTGGCCTGTTGCAACCTGGTGAGGGAGCATGCCAATTCTGTGATGCATCTACAACCTTGTGTTCCTCTTCACAATCGGGCTCGCAAGGGAAAGCAGCTACAACCTTGTGTTCCTCTACACGATCGGGCTTGCAAGAGGAAGCATCTACAGTTTTGTGGTCCTCTTCACAGTCGGGCTTGCAAGAGCTAGCCTCTATGAGGGCGAAGGCACCTCTGGAGCTGGAACCATGTGGAGAAGAAGGTGCTCGAGCCTGGGAATCTGTGGAGATCAACAACCCCAAGGAGCTTCTTGACGGAGTGTATCGAGAGCATTGGGGGTGGAAGACGCTGTGGGAGCAGGAGCTTGCCAGGGAAGCGGTTGGCGCTGAGATGGGGCTACTACATGGACAATGGCTGCAGTATCTGGAAGATCAGGTGCAGAGCTTGGAGGAGGAGCTGGCTATGGTGGATGACGTGGCCCTGAGACGACAGGCAAAGGACTGTCGACTTGCAGCTCTCTCCAAGGAGATCAACGACCCTGTGAGCAGCCAGATGCCCTTGGATGTTAGTGACCCACCAGGCCATGCGCGGGCGGTGCTTCAAACCTACACGGTCTCTCTAGCGGAGGTCAAGAGGGACATTGCTTTGTGGAAAGAGCCTTTGCAGGCGGAATTGGAAGCCTTGGTGAGTTCGGGAACCATCAGAAGGGTGAAGTTGGAGCAGCTGGCCTGTGAGCCGGGCTACGACAGGATGGAGGTGGCCCCTGCGAAGGTTGTCCCAACCATCAAATCCCCGTCTGGGAAGAGAAAGGCCAGAATTGTCATATGCGGCAACATGGTGCATCCTGCTGGACATGTGAAGGCGCCTCAGCTTCCGGATGATGGAGATCAAGGCTGTGAAGATCCTCATGGAGACCCTCCTCTACCTTCTCAAGTGCCTGGAGGTCGAGGGCATGGATCTGGTGGTGATCGAGGTGGAGGCAGCAGCCAATCCACCACTGCCGATCTATATGCAGGTGGGGTGGACGCAACGGCTCTGAGGTGCGTCCTACGCAAATCAGCTGGAGAAGGATGGGCCTTAGCATCCACGGATGTGCGTGGGGCTTTTCTCTTGGCCCCGAGGTCACAATCGAGGAGGCAGTTATTAGTTGTGGAGCCCCCGAGATTGTTGACTTCGACAGGACTGGTGGGTTTGGACGAAAGATGGATCTGTGATGGAGCCATGTATGGCTTAGACACATCGCCAGCTGATTGGGCCACTTTCAGGGATAGGCATCTGGGAACCTTCAGGTGGGAAACACAGACCCACAGATGTCACTTGGCCAGATCGCCGGAGCCCAACATTTGGTCGATCATGGGAGTGCCCAAGGAGCAGTATCCCACTCCAAACCTCAATGACGATGCCTATGCCAACCCACTGGGCTTCCTCATTGTCTATGTGGACGATGTCTTGTGCGCTGGGCCCAGGGAAGTCGTTGAATCCACGTTGGCCAGGGTTCGCAAGGAGTGGACCTGCTCTGAAGTGGAATGGGTTGGTGATACCCGGTGGTTGAAGTTTTGTGGAATGCAGTTGAGATGGCAAGGAGATACCCTCTTGCTTGGTCAGCCAGATTTTGCCCGGGAGCTTTTGGAGCGCCACGGTCCAGTTCCTGGCCGACAGGTCCCTTTGCCAAAGATCGACTTGGTCCCGGAAGAGGAGGAGAGCCCGGATCCTGATGCGGTGAAGCAGTGCCAACAACTGCTGGGTGAACTCCTCTGGCTGAGTGGCAGAACGAGACCAGACCTTGCATTTGCAATTTCAACGCTGAGTGGATGGGTCACGAGATGTCCAAGGAGAGTCAAAGAATTGGGTCGGCATGTTCTGGGCTACTTGCAGGAGACCGTAGACATGGTGCTTTCCTATGGCAGCTGCCTGGATGACCAAGGGCGGCCGAATGGTGACTTGAGGAAGGTGACACTCCTTTCCGATGCATCTCATGCTCCACAAGGACTTCGAGGGTGCCAAGGAATCCTGGCGCTGTGGGGAAATGCCTTGGTCCAATGGGAAAGCCGAAGGCAGCCTTTTGCAGCCCTTAGCAGCACAGAAGCTGAGTTGATCGGCTATGTGGATGCGCTGACGATGGGTGAGTCCTTGCAGGTGATCCTCAATGTGTTGGAGCACAACGACCTGGTGGAGAGCGGCCAGTTTGAGATTCGAGGAGACAACCTGTCAGGGATCCAGCTTCTTTTGGCTCCTGATGGCCCTTGGAGAACCAGACATTTGAGACTGAGAAGCTTCGTCTTGAGGGAGCGACTGGCAGCACGAGAATGGCGGGTTCAGCACACCCCTGGCTCAGAGCTTGCAGCAGACCTCCTCACGAAGCCTGTGGTGCTGATGGCGAGCTGGGAAGTTTTTCGTAGGACTGTAGGCCTAGTTAGGTTTGTGCAGCCGACTGAATCATCCCGTTTGTGTCGCCTAACAGAGGCGGTGGTAGCCTTAGGAGGTTTGATGCTCCAACATGGGGCGAGCAGTCTTGTGAAAACGGCTGGAGCTGTGAGCTTGTCAGCTTTGACAGCATGGATGTGTTGCATGGGAGGGCTGGCATCTATGGCTAAACCAGTTGAAGAAAAGAAGGAACCAAGACCAGCACAAAACCAAGAAAAGAGGCCTAGGGAAAATGAACCAGGCCCTACTAACCCTACTGAACCTACTTCCGACTGTAGCCTCACAGGCTCCCCAATCGTGCCTCGCCTTTGTGCGGTGCGTGGAGCCATGGCTGCTGGATCGTGGAGCGGTCCATGGGATGACGCAGAGTTCCAGAGCTTGCCGACGGGAAGCAGTGACCGCTGGCGCAGCTTGACTGGTGGGTGGTGGGTCAGGGTCCACGGTGGACTCCGATCCAGGCTGTACCACCCGGTGCACACAAGCACCCCTGTGAGGTGCGAGGACTTGGAGCCGGAAAGGACGACTGTGATATGGCATTGCACCGGTGGTCGACCCTGGACCCGGCAGGTGCACTGCGACCACTGGGGCTTTGGAAGCCAGCCTGTGCCAGGGGTTGGACAGTGGAAGGGCTTCACCTTTTTCAGGATCAAGGAGGGCGACCAGAGTGGGGCCAACAGCTCAGGGTTGCCCAGGATCCGACCTGATGTGGTGACCTGGAGCGAGGAGAACCTACCACCGATGGTGAAGCAGGGTGGCATGTCAAGTGCTTACCCACCACCTGGGGCCAGAGAAAGCACCGAAGAAGAGGAGGCTGACCCAGGGGTTCCGTTTGAGCACGGGATGGTCCAACCTGGAAGAAAACCACCACCTCAGGCTTGGTTCCAGCGACAGAATATGCAGGGTTGGATGAACCGTATGGCCAAACCACCAGCAGTTCCAGTACACCATGCAATGCCAGGACCACCGCCAGCGGGTCCACCACCTCATGGGATGGCGGGATCGCTTCCAACTGGTCCGCCTCCTAGCAGTGCAGGGCAGGGTGGCCTGTCGAGTGTCGATCCACCGCCCGGGGCTGGAGCTGCACCGAAGCCGATGGCTGAGGGGTACTGCAGGCCAACTCATAAGTATGGCCGGTATCAGGCGCCTGCAGAAGCCGAAGGAGACCGTCCTCGTGGCCGACCTGGACCTGGACCTCGTGGAAGAGCCGCTATGGGCATTGGTGGGCCGATCGATGCTCGAGAAGAAGGCCGGATGACTTCGGCCGGATCTATGTCGATGGGAGCAGGACCTATGGGGGTCATCCCAACTGGAGCTGGAGATCGACCTGGTGAAAACCCGCTGCTGGCTTCTTTGAGGGTGGCAATGCGACCTCCAGAGCAGAACCCAGGTGGCTTGGCATCGTCGAGCTCTACGGTGATCCCTGGGGAGTGGGCCACACGAGGGGACCCGGGGCTGATTACCCCGCGGGGGTCCGTGGCTGGAGCATGGGCTAACCGGCCTACCTTGGTCGCCAAGGCCCTGGGCACTCCATACCAGGCCGAACGGCGATTGAATCCTCCCCCGGAGGGCTTGGAAGAGGCTGAAAGCTTCCAGGAGGAGGCAGCTGAGACTCCCGAGAACGAGGAGGAGGACATGTAGCAGAGCTTCCCTTTTTTCCTTTCCCAAGACCAGCCAACGAAGCTTTGGTCTGGCATTTTGTTATGGCCACCGAAAATGTTGCACCTAGCAACATTGGGGGAGTGTGGTGCCATTTTCAATTTGGATGGACACGCACAAATCAAGAAGTGTTCACATGTCTCAGGGGTTTTACATGCTTCAGTCGTCTCACTGGCATGACCCCTGCACAAGCGATGACACGCTACCTTTTGGATGGCTCAAGAAAGAGGCAGCCGCTGCTGCTTCGGGTTTTTTCCCCCGTTTGGGGATCGCAGAACCGATATAAGGGATGTAATATGGAGGTTTACTGAAATATGGATGCCCCCGTTCTCATCCAGCTATTGGTAGCCCACAGTAGCTATGGCATTGGCTCAACTGAACATGGATTTTCAATGGGATGTTCACGAAAGAAAATCCAAACCATGTGCCATATAAACATCCTTCAACCATCCTATTGATTTATAATTCTCCAATATATCAATATCAGTAGTTGATGACATTGGCATCTACCCTTGGATAATTATCTATGCAGTGGAGAATTCCCCAAGCTTTAAAAATATTCCAAGTGGCGTAGACGTGCACGTCGTTGAAGCATCGGGTGGTATGACCGGAACCTCCAAAGAGATAGAGGCAGTCCCGGATGATGGACCTGAGAAAAGGCTGACCAGGCAAAGCGGAGAAAATTCAGGTGGTTTACCCCGCTGTTTTTTTTTTAAACGAAGATTACAATTGTTGAAGATCTATGAAATGTATTTATGGTATATATATATATATATACATATAATTTTATGTACTGTATTCATTTGTTTTTTTAAATGTTATCTTATTTGTTTTGATTTGTTGAACCCTTGATGAGCTACCTTCCAATGAGCCACCTTCTCACCAAAGAGCTATAGATGGCCCATTTACAGTTGATTGACCTATCAAAAAAATGCTGGATCTTTCCATACCCATGACGGATCCATGGTGCTGCTATATATGGTAACATGGATCCCATCCCAATGTTAGCATATATACCATACATATACCATACATGGATCCTATGAGTATGACAGTTTACTGCAGGGTAAACTTATTGGATCAGCCCGATCCAAACTGGATGTCCCATTTCTGGTGACATCGCCTGATCATGGACATCTTCGCATCCTCATTGCCTCATCCTCTGGAAAATACGGATTAATGGACACTTCCCATATCTATCATATCCATTTATAGTATGCTAATGTATTTGATACACGTTTTTATACTATGTTATAGCTTATCTTCCTATTACAGATGGGGGATTACCGATTACATCATCCTGATTGATTAGCAGTATTCCACAAGGCTGCAAGTGACAAAAAACAACATCTTCAAGAACATCTTGGAAAAGCATTCAGAAATTTATACAACTCAACAGTTAGCAGTGAAGTCAGGAAGCGTTTTCTTTAAAACACTGATATCGCGCAGTGTTTCCATATTTGGGTGGTCAAAAACTTGAGATTTCACGTGGGGATGACTCAACGAATACAACTTGGGATTTCTCCACAGAAACATTTCCAGCACCATCGAATCTTTTGGGATAATGACCAAGCTACATGTTTCAACTTGGGATTTTTACATATTTTTACCATCTATTTTTGGGATTTCTCATGATTTCTCCATAGAAACTCAGAAAATTTCTCCAGACTTTCTCCACTTCCAAAGACCTAAACACCACCCCCCAGCGAACGCCTGACGAGGCACAAGGTCATGCCGGCCCGCGCCTGTGGTGCATAGCCACTGGGTCTGAGCATCGTCCACCTGCCCACTGAAGTACTGGAAGTTACATTGGGTTTATCTAGGTTTAATGAGTTTTAATGAGTTTTAATGAGTTTTAATGAGGTTTAATGAGTTTTAATGAGTTTTAATGAGTTTTAATGGGATCTTAATGAGTTTTAATGGGTTTTTTCATGGGTTTTTCATCTATGCTTCACAATGGTTCTTTTATCATGGTGAAATCTATATAAGGACCCAGAAATCATTGGCATAGCTACTGTCAATGGATTGGTTTAGTCGGGAAAATTTTCATTGGAAAATCACTCTGGTTTCCGGTTAAGATTTTCCCCAACAAACCATCCATTGATACTGGGGCTATTTCTTGGGATTTCTTGGGATTTGAAAGAGCCATCATGGAAATATCGAGGGCTTATCGTGGGCGGCTTGCCCTCAATGACTAACAGTTGAACTACCGGTAACCTTAATGGAGTAGTACTCCGATATATTTGGATGAGTATACTGTGCTTTTAGCGTTACGCTACACCGGGTACACCATATTTTCACGTATCACGTAAGGTAGGGGCCCATGATCATACCCCAAACAGAAACTGGGAAAACATAGAAACACGTCTTCTGGGGCTCCTTGTTTGTTCCCAGGCATTGTTGGATGTAATATCCCAACTGGGGCCCAATTACATCCATTCCCTCCATCTAATGCTGCCACGGCACACATTGTCGGTGGTGTCCAGCACATACAGATCATTCAGCCGTTTCCCACCGTCCTTGGTGCGCGAACTCTTCCAAAAATGGCTGGAAAACCAGCCATGAATTCCAACCAATCTCTATGTTTAGTGGTAAAAACATATGCACACATCATGTTTTCCTCTCCAAAATGTCTTTTTTTCAATCCAAGACTCTGCCAGATTTCTGCTTTCCTCCGAAATCCGCCAAAAACACCACCCAAATCTGGCCTTCGCATCCCAACAAAAATAGCCACATGTCCACTTTTCCCCAAAAAACTCGGCCCGAAAAACTCGGAAGAACTCCGCCCGAACATCCTCCCATCCAAGCATCCCAGCCCCCGAAGATGTAGAGCCGGAACTCGTCCACCGCCGAGGCATGGTTGGCCCGTGGCGGTGGCTGCTCCCCCGCCGTCTTCACCGGGAACCAGCTCTCAGTGACCAGGTCGAGGCCATGTAGATCCTGCCAGAAACATCATGGCCTATGATTCAATGGATTGGTTTAAGGGAAAATCTACAGGAAACCATGGTTTTTACCATCAAATATAGGGGTTTACCTACAAGTTATAAGTTGGTTTATAAACCCCTTTCATATTTTTCAGAGGGGTTGAAACATGTTGAAACCACCAATCAGTATCATATTACACTATCATACAAGGTGGGACCCCATAGTTAGCTAAGTTGGTGCAAATAACTCCAATGCCACTATGGTTTATGGTAGATATAACTATAATTAATGGGGTTTATAAACCAACTTATAACTGAGGGGCACCACATTGTATGATAGTGTAATATGATACTGATTGGTGGTTGACCTACCCCTCTGAAAAATATGAAAGTCAATGGGAAGGATTATCCCATATATTCTGGAAAATAAAAAATGTTTGAAACCATCAACTAGGATAATATGCAACATGGGGATATCATATGATATCATGGGGAAATATCCATCTAGTCATCTATATAAATGGGATATAGATGGATCTTAGATGATATCTATGATAGTGACAGGTTGGTGGTTGACCTACCCCTCTGAAAAAAATGACTTCATCAGTTGGGATGATGACATTCCCAACTGAATGGAAAAATAAAAAATGTTCCAAACCACCAACCAGGTGTAATATGATATATGATAGTATAATGTGATAGTATCTGGATAATATTGTCATAATATGATAGTATATGATATGTAGAACATATAGCGATACTAATTTCATGATCCTGAAACCTCTTGGATAATATAGTGGTAATATGATAGCATGTAGATATGACAATATTGATATTGATAATATGTTTAGAGTTTAGAATTATCATTAGAACATTTACATATATAATGATAGTATGATAGGGGTCTCACTTTTCTGTGTAGGATCTGTAAATCTCAGGTTTTCTGTATTTGATATATGTTTTTCATTGATATGGAGGTTTCCAAAGTCATGGGGTACTCCCAAGACCATCCATTTTATTTTCGGATGTGAATGGTTACGTAGTTCTCACACCGTGTAGTTATTATCTATGATTATCATACTTATGGATAGTTTTATATAGTTTACCAGATAACACTAGGTAACAATAGATAACAACAAATAACAATAGATAGCAATACATAACCAAAAAAAAGTAGTTAATGCTATACAGATAAACACTCATTCAATAATGAAACAAAGATACACAATAACAATGACAATAACACTAGATAACACAAAATAACAATGGATACCAACTGATAACAATAGATAGCGATAGGCAACACTTAGTATACAACCAACACTACAACTATAAACTATCATATCATCATGTCTAGATACGTGATGATACGTGTAGAGGTTCTCTAGTGCGGCTATCGTGTGCTTGTAGTAATAGGTAGGGTTATGGGGCAATCGCACCTGAGGTTCTAAGGGTGGTTTAGATATAGCTGGCTATATGAGGTCTAAACAAGTGGCTAGAATGGTCATGACCTATGGACCTATGGTTATCATCCTTATGCGTACTTTTTTATTGTTACCTGTCATCCTTTTAAATCCATAGATTGGATAATATCTAAACATGAACATAACTTTATCATGTCGATAGTAGTTGTATCATTATCTATAATATTATAATTATAGTGCTTGTACGCGTGCTAGTGGTCAATGCATATGGATAATATTTATGGCATGTAATCATTAAAGTAGTTATTATCATTCACCTAGATTTTAATCGATAGTAATATATAGGTACTGATAGTGAGGAAGTGTGGACATGGTAATAGATCATACTAAGAATCACCATGGTCAATCCTAATGATCATAACCATGTAGATAGTTGTCACTTGCACCGTAGTGTTGTAACAATGGTAACACCTATTATTATAGTAATATCATTTAGTAGTAGAATTAGCTACTTAGTTGGGTAACATGATATACATGATACATCCAATATCACCCAATAAAGGTGTTGCTTCGATACCCCAAAGGTGTTGCATGTTGAATGCATCCAAGTGTCATTCAAATACGCTCGCCCGTCACCTCCCCGGAAGACCAGTAGATTTGATCCCAGCAAATCCGCCGTGTGCATGTTGCAAGGGCCTGCAGCACTCTTTTTCGGATCTGGTTGGTGGTTGTTTTTCAACCCCTCTGAAAAATGATGGATTTCGTCAGTTGGCTTTATGACATTCCCAATATACTCAATATACAATACCTGGTTGGTGGTTGACCTACCCCTCTGAAACATATTAGTCAGTTGTTCACCTTATTCCCAATTAATATGGAAAGTCATCAAAGCCATGTTCCAAACGACCAACCAGGGATGATTGTTTGTTTCACAGCAAAATTTGGGCGAACATGGGAATTACTGATCGTAACCCAGGCACTGATGAAAGCCACTCTCACTGGATGAATCAACATGTCCTGTCTCAATTTCAAGGACTATGATCATCTCAGGTTCTTGTGAAGGCTTTAACTTCATGTTTCTTGTGCAAGATAGCTTGCTTCTCAGAGAACTCTTGAACACCAAAAAACATCCCAAAACACACCAAGTTCACCAACGGGTCAACAACTCCATGACGGCTCCAACCCACATGACGGCGCAAACGGCAACGGAAAACAACCTGGTGGTTCGCCGCTGAATCTGGGCAAAACCCATTTCAAAGGATTCAGCTGCAAGAGGTGCATATCCTGGGGAACTGGATTCGACAGGGACCCGACACCCCCTGGATTTTGGAGGATGAAATCCATGGAGAAATGGTTCGTTTGGTTAAAATTTGTGCAATGTTTTTTTTGCTGAGAAATCACTGACTTAAGGATGGAAAGTGTGTGTGACACGTTTAATTGGCAATTCATATGTTGAATCCATTCACAGCAATGTTTTTCTTGGATTCTGAGCATAGCCAGCATAGCTTTTACAGTTTTTGGGGATGATTCTTCCGGGCTCATCAGACCACATCATGAAACTCAATATGCTGACAAGCAATGACAGTTGAAAGAACGTGATGATGAATGATCATGAACCATTGTGCCTGACCATTGATATCAGTTCAACATATATCCTTTTCAATGTCTATAGCAAGTTCAGTGAACATGCCATTGACGGGCATGTTGTTTTTCCTGACTTCTTTGAACCATTTTATAGACCTTCCATTAATACGGCAAATGGGTCTGTGATGTAAGACACACATGAGACCCCTGAGTCATTAAACACGTGTTTGTCTTTTTTAGGCTTAGACAACTGCAGTCGGTTGATGGAATCTACATGAACTTACCAACTTACCATGTTTTCTTGTGAAATAAATGCCGTCAACATCCGTAAACCATATGGATCCATATTATATAGGAGGTTTCTGTTTTTTTTCGGGTACCCCCAACTCATCCAATTCTTGGACCGTATATATTGAAAGCCATGGTGACTTGGGGATCCCCCATAAATTCCACCATTTTTTTCCGAGCCCAAGATTCACCAGCAGCCAGTGGCCCATTCCCAAGCCATCCACCAAGGATGAGAATGGACTCCCCCAGCAGCGTGGCCGAATGGCCATTTCGGCCGCTGGGCTTCGCCCCCATCACCTCCGTGGGCGTCGGCTTAAGGGCTTCACGGACTTCCCAGAAATTTCCCAAAAAACGGATGGCTTGGGAGGTGAAAGAAACTGGAAAAATCATCATAGAAATATGCAACTATGACTTATTCTCTATGGAATTACTATGGAATTATATGATTATATATGGTGATTATATGGTTATGGATAGAAATTTGGAGGTTTCCCAATTTTGATAAAGGTACCCCAATAGCTGATCAATAGCTGGATGGTTTTTCTGAAGGAAAATATCCAAAGTGGATGATTTGGGGGTACTGCCATGACTTAGGAAACTTCCAAATGGATACAAATCGTGGATTCTCAAGCCACACTCACGAAAATAAGACTGACAGCTGCACAATGTCAAGTGATGGCAACTGTGCAAAGACCAACAAGCCACAGCTGAAATACATCTTTTGGCATCCGGGATTAGGATCATCCCCATTCTCAGTGAATTTACAAGATTTTCGCGGAAGCGAGGTGCTTCGGGTTGTCTCCATTCCAAGGAGTGGAGGTCAAAAACGTACAACTCGTTGTGGTTCTTCTGTCCATCATAACCACCTCAGTGCACCAGTTTTGTAGCCTGACATTGGCGTTCTGGCCGATTTTCAGTGGAACATCTTGAAACCAAAAGGTGTATTTTTTCAGCATCCGAAAACCAAAAGGGTGTTCCGGTGCCAAAAAGTCCAAGTATTGGGGGATGGTCTGACCCCTGCCCTGATATGGTGGGGAAATCCGCAAACTCCACTTCCTTGGGTGCATAGCGACAATGATTTCCTCAATATCAGATCAACATTTGACCGATAAACCCATGATCTTATCACCAAAACAACATGTTCCAACAAACATGCGATTTCATATATTTCATATTTTTTCCAGAAAGAAAACATCCTTTCAACCACTAAACATCGCCCCTTTGGGGCATCCAGGCCGTATATCACCACGGCACCAAAGACATAGACCTCGTTGCCCACGGGCGTCGCCGTGTGGTTTTTGGTCGATGGAATCTCCAACAGCTCGAAGGGAACCGAGGAATGCACAGACCACGAGGTGTGATGACACGAGAAGACCTGGCACGGCGCTGTTGGCACGGCGATGGGATATGATGGGTTTTATGGATGCACCATGGGAGATGGTGATGAATCACCCATTTTTTCACGTGCACATGGGGATTTATGGAGTTCATGGATAAAAATTCACGAGAATATGATCAGAATATGTGAAAGGATTTGTTGTTATTTATGGTATTTATGGTCATATAGCCCATGGAAAACATGTCCAAAAAGATGTGGAACACGCATGGTTTCCCGTTCGAACAATGATCTACATGCATGGGTTGAACGGTTGAACCCGAAAAAAAGTACCCTGCAATAAATTGACCTCCAAGTCAGGAATAGATCCAAGACTGAACCAGGGTCTCGTGTGGTGGTATTTCATATTGGGGGAAGGGTCTATAATATAGTCAATATATGATCTATCCGCATTCATATATGATGCCTAGAAGACAATCTCACTGTTCATATCTAAAACAAACATTGCATTGCGGGATAATATCATCAACTATATATTGGGATGGGCTGGGACGGCATTGAACTGTAACTCGCACCTTTAAACTCTTTTAAACTCCATTCAGAAACGCAATTGAGGGTATTCATATGTATCAATATCATGGCAAGACCCGGCGGATAGATTACATGTTTTGACTGTCAAGCAATCCATCCCATGTTAGGGTTTAAGGGGTGATAGCTATCTGTATGTATATATATAATATACACATACATACATATATATATTATATATATCATTATATATCATCTATTCCCATTTCAATGAAATTGTAGCCGGTCAAAAACGAGTACCCATTCATTCACTTGACCCATGACCGCCAGTTGGATCATTGGAAGTGGTGTGTCCCGCCTTAGCCGCAATGCCAGCCGCATCCGCGCCGGTGTCGCTACTGCCGTCTTGCGCGTTCACCGACATCGCCAAACGGAACGGGGGACGCGGGCGACGTCAGCTGCATGCCACATCAAAAAATCAGGGCCAGGATCATGAAGAAGTCGAAGCAAAAAAATAGTAGACCATAGTAGATATGGTTAACAATGGTATATCAACCATATTTACTATATATTTACCATATATTAGCCATATATTAACCAGACCTTTGTTGATGAAATGATTATGGAGAAATCATAGATCTTACAATGAGTTGTGAAGCGAAAAAACCCAACCAAGCTTTACAAGGTGATTGGACCACATTTGAGTCTAGGAAACTGTGCCAATTGATGGCTGTGATTTTCTGCACAAGCTGACGGTCTTCCACAATCTCCAACTGCACATCCTCTCTCCCTTGGCTGTCTTGACTGAAGATTCTCAAGCCGAGATGTCTTGCTAGCAGAAGATCACACCTGACTATATAAATGGTTCTTAAATGTGTATACCCATATGTGCATATATATATGTATATATATATATATGTGTATATATATATATTATGCAATGTTATGTGTACAGATATAATGTAGGGGGAAGTCAACCAAATCCTACTCAAGCACCTCGCACTTTAGAGTTTCTTTGTTTCTTTGTTGGGGAGGTTGAAACTTAGAACACAGAATCGAACACATGCATGTCCAACGCACATTATGAATTTTAGCACATCGCAATCCCATCCAATTGAATTTGACTGAATACTTTCCCACCCTTTAGTGATATCCTACAAATAATTACCTGCATGAGTACACTCCGGCAAACATGGTAATGAAATCCACCATTTAGTTCAATGATTTTCCCATGTTTTTTTTTTTTTCGGGGATTGTCCGGCCAGCCACTGCAATGATGGACATGCAAATGGAACACTATATGAAGCCATATTACAGCCTAAAATTGGGTGGTTATAAAGATCAACATATGATATCTACTTATCTACACTCTACACCAATATCAGATATCTTTATAGAAATCTTTTTATTACCTTGACGCTATGATATCACCAAGATATGATATATGGTTATAAAGATCAAACTCAGATTTTTGAGTTACCAGTTTTCAGATATCATATCTTGGTGATAGATCTCAGGAAAAAAACGTATCCCCTTGATATATAGTAATCCTGGAGTAGATAGAATATGAACATGAACAAGAACAACTCACTAAAATGGGAATATGCTTGAACATTTCATAGTCTATCTAGATTCTAGGATTATTAAAGTATACATCTAGATTCTAGATAATTAAGGAGGTTTCCTAAAGCCCCCCAAATCATCCATCTATATTAATTGGGGTACTAACATTGAAACCTCCACATTCCTCTTTACCGGTTGTGGTTGTCAGCTACAACACCCCCATTTTTTGGAATGATCATCCCATAAAAATAACCATTTATAACCACAATTATCATACTTAATTAACGGTTTTATAGGAATTTATCATAACCATTTATAACCATATTTATAACCATATTTATAACCATATTTATAACCATATATAACACTTTATAACCATATTTATATTTATAACCATATTTACCAAACAACGCATTGAAATAACTGGTTTTTTCGTGCCATGCCATAAGTGTAGATCCTGTCGGAGCTGCTGGGGACCCAACTCACCTTCTCCACGAACCTGTCGGACCTGGGAGAGGAAAATCTTCACCGGAAACCCATGGGTTTTTACCATCAAAAAAAAATGGGTTTCCGGAAAAAAATCCCATCATCCAATTCTATGATATATGGAATTACTATGGAATTATATGATTATATATGGTGATTATATGGTTATATGATGTTATATGCAACTATGACTTATTCTTTTTTGGAACTACTGGCTGGTGGTAATGATTGATGGTTACCCTCTGGTTATGTCAACAGTTTGCTATTGAAAATGGTGATTTAGTTCGTGGATTTAGCTATTGAAAATGGTGGATCTTTCCATAATTATGTGGCTGTTTACCAGAGGGTATCAATGAATTATCAATGGTTGGTGCTTTTAACCATCTTGAAAAATGATGGAGTTCGTCAATGGGAAGGATGACATCCCATATATGAAATGGAAAATAACAGTCATGTTTGAAACCACCAACCAGTAATGATTGATGGTTATCAATGGTTACTAGTGGTTATTACCAATTGATGATTATTAATGGTTACTAATGGTGATGATTGATGGATATTAATCTAATGGTTATTGACGTGGTTGTTAATGATTACTACTCTAGTGGATTTTCACCAGCAATAATTGGAATTTTACCCACTAGGAAGCCAAACATTGGTACAGAAGATTCCCCACATGATGAAGAAGCATTAAGTGTCATCTATTAATTATTTGGTATCAGTCTTTCATAACTTTTCTTTCAACTATTAATCCATATACACCATCAAATGTCACCGGTATATTCCCATTCTATTCCCATTACCCTCTGGTAAACTAAATGTAAACTAACACAGGGAACTGGAAAATCACAATCTTTAATAGGTAGATCAACCATTTCTATGGCCATTTTGAATAGCCATGTTAAATTACCAGAGGGTATCATTAAAATTTTATTGTTGTAACTAATCCCCTCCCCCTCAATACCAAGCATCCCCTTAGAAAGGGCCCATATATAAAAAACACGCATATTTCCTCTATTTCCTCAATAAAAATCCCCCTTGATGGCCGGCCTCCGCACGCCGACGCTCCACATGGCGCCGATGGTGCCTTTCCGCTCAAGTCGTGAAGAAAAACCAAGTACTTAAGTTACTTAAGGCTTGTTGAAATCACAATTATATCAATTAAGTGACTAAAGTATACTTGAGTGACTTAATTCCAAGAATTCATGAAATCACCATGCTAATCCATTTTATATCGGATTATCAATCAAAATGCTGATGTTTGAATTGAATTTGCGAATGTTTCCTTGGAATGGGATTTAGAATGTACTTGGGGTTGCTGATGGGGCGAAAAAGCAAGGCATATCGGATTTTAACTCCCAGAGGTTTGGATAGGTTCACTTATAACAGGAGCTGCACCCCCCAAGTACCCTCCAGTAACTAACATAGCTATGCAAAACCAGAAATCAAACAAAGGGTAAATCATCCACTTTCACAAACCATTCTCTATAGCAACATGTTGGATTACCAAAGGGTAACCCCAGAATTTGGATCAAATTGACCATTTCAATCCATTTGAAGATTCGGAACATGAATGAACATAGTGATTTAGTGATTTACCAGTGGATTTTGGGACGTCTTCAACTAATAATTATTTGTTCTATATTTTGAAACCCTCACAAAAAACAACCAACGAACCCAATAACGTATGGCGAAGGCCAGGTATCCTGTGGATCTCTGGGGATGGAACAGGACTGCCACTGTCTTCATCAAGCGAGAAAAAAACGTGGGGGTATCTGATCCCAGAATCTTGGAGACAAAGCTTTGAAGGGGGCGCCGCAAGGTGCGACATATTGGAAGTGCCAAATCACAGAGATCATTTTTAGACAGTTGATGTTCATGTGAAAAGAACTACCCTCTGGTAATTTAACATAGCTATTGAAAATAACCATTTATAGTGGATTTTCCCATTAAAAATGGTGATTTGCAATAGCTATGTTAAATTACCAGAGGGTAGAGGTGCAATTTACCCGCGATCTCGTGTCAGACATTCGCCATGTTGAAGTGCTGTGTTAAACGCTTTGACACATTTGACAAGGCAACGCGGCAACATCATGCAACATCCACATCTGGGTTTGTCTGAAAGTAAGGTACCCCCAATTCCAATCGATTCTCATTATCCTCAAAAAAAATATGTCATTTCAAGATTTCAGGGACTTTTTTACCGTATATATACCCATATATGTTATTATTGTAAATACCAACTGGTTGGTGGTTAAAAAAACATCTTGAAAAATGATGGAGTTCGTCAATGGGGTTGGGATGACATCCCATATATTTTTATGGAAAAAAACAAATCTTTGAAACCACCAATCAGCATTTTTTTTGGAAAGTCATTCAAAATTCCATGGTTCCAAACCACCAAACAACTTATGGCATCTTATGGCTGTGGGATGACCCTGAAGGGTCATCTCCAAGTTTGTTGCTTGTAAACACCCATCTATTTAATGACCATATGTTGTGGGGATATTCCCTGAAAAATAAGCCTGAAAAATAGGCCTTATATATGATAGGTACCTCCAATGAATCGGTTCCTGAAATGGCCATTGAATCTATTTAATTTCAATGTTGTTTGTACCGATTCCCTCTGGTAAACTCTGACACCGTGAGTCTTCACTCAGTGAATGAAGAAAATCGCCATTGAAATGGCCATGTTCAATAGCAAGTTGTGTTAATCTAGCCGAAGCTAATCCATTTCAAAATCCCATTATATCATCATCTTTCTTTGTTAGATCCTCTGGTTATGACTATCATAGCCATGGAAGCCATGGCCCATAGAAATAGATGGTTTACATATTAAAAACGGTAGATTTTTCCAGTTCGCTATGTTAGTCATAACCAGATGTTAAATCCTATGAAAACAAAAAAGCCATGAAATCCCATTAAAAACAGTGATTTTCCCTATGAAAAATGGTGATTTTCCTATTAAACATACCCGTGAAATTTGTTGCATGGTGATTTTCCCTATTAAAAACGGTGATTTTTCCCATGAAATGTCCATTTGTTCCCCGGTTTTCTGTGTTGAACTCTCCACTGAGCCCACCAACTCTTTCCGCCGTTCATCCTGGCAATAGCGCAATGTTCTGCCCCTTGGGGGACTCTGGCACTCAAAATCACACACACTTATTTTGGAAACATATATAACCCAAATGCTCCATGTATGGTATATTTACCTACATTTGGGTGATTTTAGGGCAAATGTTGGTAAATATTCCATACATGGAGCATATGGGTAAGTATATATTATTAAGGAGACATTATGTGGAAATATAAGGAAATAATATATATATATGTATATAAGGAAACATGTGAATAAAGTATATCAATTATTTTGAAATGGCTCAAAAGCCACAGTACCATAGTTTGATATATATATATATACATATATTGGGCATATTACCATCAATTTCAGCTATGGGCGCCATGTCAACAGAAAGGGGATTTCATTTTTGATCCAAGGTTGGCTTTACCCTGTGGGACCACCGGCACCGACGTGCCTCGTTCCGCTCGTTCCGCTCGTTCCGCTCCTTCCGCTCGTGTCGCCCGTGTCGACGCCTTCTGCAGCCAGGACGACTGTCACCAGGAGTTGTCATCACCACGGTAGCCTCTGGTAATTTAACAGTTTGCTGTGGGAAATCACCATTTTTAATAGGTAAATCCACTATTTCTATGGCCATTTTCAATAGCTTTTTGTATGTTTACCAGAGTGTATTTCATCGCAATTCTGAATTACAGTCATTCTACCCTACGGTGCAAAAGTTGTGAATTTGTTCAAGGTATGTTTGAGGCCTTTAGTCATTTAGGTCCTTTATTCAAACGGCTTCGCTAAACGTGTCCTTTGGACTGATTGGGCAATGTTATTCTTATATTAGACCAATAATTAAATTGGTCAAATTGATCACATAATATATAATGATATTGATAAATATGGTGACCAATAAATATGATATTTTATAATGAATAATTAAATGGGTGACCATAATCATATTTATTTTATCTATATAATCTTAAGTAAAATAGGGTGAAATCATATTGATAAATCAGTAACAATCTCAAACTTGAAGACCTGAGATCGCCACGTACCCAGAATACATTACACTAAATCCTGTTTATCGCCCAAAGAATATCCCAATTCTATCCTAATTATATCGTTATATAATATATGTATATATATATATATGACATTCTATGAATATCTACTAATTAATCTATACTATACTAATACCCATATGCTCCATGTATGGAATATTTACCAACATTTGCCCTAAAATCACCCAGTTTTGTAGGTAAATATACCATACATGGAGCATCTGGGTATACTATACTAATATATCACAACGGTTTCTTGTTATATGATATATATGGCTTTAAAAGTGTGTCATCTCGAATCTCCATCATTCCGTTTGCCGCCACCTGGAAGGACTGCGACTCATCATCTGCCATCGTTCCTGGCGTGGTGTTTTTTTTGTCATGTCATGTGTTTTTTCCAGGATGTTCTGTTGATATCTGTTGATGATGTTTACATTTTACATACATGTAAACATCCAATAATTTTTAGAGGTGTCCCACTATAGTTTTTGGAGTTGCTTCATGTTGTTTGGTATCGAAAATGAGGAGACTCAGCAAAGAGACTTGTCGTGGATGCTGCAAGTCAGGCCCACCCAAGATGTGCAGCACTATTTTTTGGCCAACATAAACTATCCCTTTTTTGGATTCAGCACCTGGGTCTGACCCGTGTCCGCCATGTCCATGATCTCTATTCGTCACACTTTGGTACCAAGATCCGCCGAAAAACCTCATTTCAGATGGCAGACCACTCACTTGCGACTGTCACATCTTTGCTTCTCCTTACTTCTCGGCTTTCTCCATTTTTCAGTGTTCTCGTTTTTTCTCGTGTCCTCGGTTTTTCGGTTTTCTCATTTCTATGCATCTCACCGTTCTGGCCACGACGCGCAAATTTCTTGCTTAGGGTGGGGTGGGCCAATAGCGCTCACGGAACTTCACACGGGTTGATAGTTTCCATTGACTACACTGGCCGCTACAATTCATCTAGAAGGTCTGTTGGACCTGGTTCATGATGATCATGACAACTATGATAAGAAGGACATCATGATGATCATGAGGATCATGAAAAGCATGATGATGAGAGTGCTACTGATGATGAGCTGATGTGAAAATGATGTGATGAAGACGATGAAGATGAAGATGATGAAGATGAAGAAGAAAAAGATGATGATGATGATGATGATGATGGTGCGGCGGTATCGAACATGCAACTTTCACATCTAATTATGTTGATGGTTCGAGACAGTCGCAAGGTTTTTGGGCTCCGACAGTCACAAGCATGTCATCGCCCTTTCAGATGGCGGGTCGAAAATGGTCAAAATATGTCTGACAAACATGGCATTGGATGTTCCTCCTCCCCAAAAAACAGCTATGAAAAGACGACTGGATCCATCCCCAAATAGAATTACTTTACTTCGTGTGATCCCCACCATGACATTTATACATTTTGTTACTGGCAAATCTTCTGGCATTCTATCTGACATATTTTCTGGCATTCGATCTGGCATTCTATCTGGCATATCTTCTGGCATTCTACCTGGCATATCTTTCTGGCAGATGTTCTGGCATATCTTCTGGCAGATGTTCTGGCATATCTTCTGGCATATCTTCTGGCATATGTTCTGGCATATCTTCTGGCATTCCATCTGGCATTCTATCTGGCATATCTTCTGGCACTCTATGTGGCATATCTTTTGGCGTGGATACTCGCGGTTGAGGTCCGGCAGGGAACACTGGGCGTGGATGGTCGTGGTTGAGGTCCGGCAGGGAACACTGGGCGGGGATACTCGCGGTTGAGGTCCGGCATGGAACACTGGGCGTGGATGGTCGTGGTTGAGGTCCGGCAGGGAACACTGGGCGGGGATGGTCGTGGTTGAGGTCCGGCAGGGAACACTGAGCATGGATGGTCGTGGTTGAGGTCCGACAGAGAACACTGTGGATCGCGGGTCGCAGTTGGACGAGGAGGACGAGGAGGACGACGAGGAGGACGACGAGGAGGAGGACGACGAGGAGGAGGAGGAGGAGGAGAGGAGGAGAGGAGGAGGAGGAGGACGAGGCAGGAGGAGGCAACTGACATAAAATCTAACAACCCTCACCTGGCAGGTGGGGAAAAAATCTCAAGTCATGACCACATTGCAAATCTAAAGTGGCAAATCCCATTGCTTTTGGGAAACTGAAAATTATAAAAACAAATAAATAAATAAATAAACCTATATGGTTATAGCAATCCCTAAAGCGCCGAAAAATCAACCATCACTCAAGTCAGATTTTACTCGTCTATCTTTTTTTTGGTGGTGATAAGTACCTTTAATATCATTTAATTCCTATATCTGGTGGGGATTTCGCCAAGATGTAAAGCACAAAACCTGGATTTTCCCAGAAAATCCCATGGTTTAACGGCTGCCAAACCCGCCCGTCGTGGTCGCCTCGGCTGATCCAGGCACTTCGGTCTCAACTGGCGCACTATCGAGAAACGTCACTAAAGTGGCGATAGGAGACGGGGCCCTCGTTGGGTCAAGCTTCAGTAGCACAAAATGGCAGAAATCAACAGGTGAAAAGATGTGAAAGGACAGGTTTCGGGACACATTTTGTGATCCCCGGCCCTATCCCCAACATGATCAACTGAGAGTTCAGTGAACGTTTCTTTTGGATCATTTTTTGGGCACCAAAGAGTTTCTGAACACCGAGTCAACTAGATTGCACCAACCGGGTCTAAGTTTAAAGATAACTACCAAGATTTTTGTGGATGCCGCCCCTCCCATTTGCAAGCTGACAACACCCTTGACAGCTGGTGTTTAGCCCCAAGATCCAGGTTGTATCCTGAAAAGACGCAGCCCATCGTCACCCAGCCTTCCTCTTTCACGCTATCGGCAGCTGCCTGGTGGGTGTCTCTGATAGGTGTCCTGCCACCTGTCGACATTTCTGTCAAAGATATGTCAAAGTAGCTCTTTTGACCCCTAGAGACCACATTTCCATAGTTTCACACCGTTTTCAATCATCATTCCTCCCAAGTTCTACCTGCTTGATAACCAAACACCTGCGGACCGCAAACGACCAGTAATACATGGAGGCTTGCCCGGTTCTAACCATTTCTAGTGAGATTCTGAGCCCTACCAGAGGGTTTTCCAACCATGGATTGGTATCCGAATCCCCATCATATCCCAAAAAAATCTACACCATATCACCATTTTTCCATTTTTCATGGACACCTACCACCCCGAACCGCGGGGTAAGGCCTTGAACAAGGGATCCTGGCATGAACTGGCTGGGATTTGCCCGAACGAAATTTGGGCATTGAAATTCGAGAAAAAACACATCGAAATGATGGATTGTCCATTGCCATGTTCGATTTCCGCAATCCCAAGATAGGGGTAATCTATGGTAATCTTGGGATATGAATCATTATCCAAAAGCTAGTGCATCACAAACCTTTAAAAAAAAAAACGCAAAAAAATGTCTTGGCAACAAGACACAAAAGAAAAAGTCAGCAGCCCACAACAAGATAGACAAGTCAAATCCTGCAAATGGTGATTAATTACTTTTATTTTTTGGGGTGGCTATGAAGAACAGGGGTTGGTAACTGTACCATTTTGGGTATATTGGACATCACCTTATAGTAGCCATTATAGACCATATACCTAATGGTTGGGTGATGTTCAATGGGGACATTTAATGACCCATGAAGCATGATAATGATTTTTTTCAGTTCTGAACGCGACGGGTTTCTGGGGCGATGCCCTATTTCATTCATTCTCTGCAGCCATGGCAAACTCAGGTACCCTATTCAGAACTTAAATCCCACAGGAAGAGACATTAGATAGGAAAGTTTGTTGATAAAGAGGCTGACAAGTATTTATGATGAATAAAATGATAAGACATGATAAGACTATAGTTAGTTAGATGGGGTCGCCAAGAAACACCACTGGAAAACCCTTCCTGTGGTAAAAACAATGTCAGATATGTCTCCAAATGGCCAAGAGTCACCGACCATTCACCAACACCCCAGGTGTTCCCCGCTCCGCGTCCTGTTCCTCTGGTGCTTCTTCTGTCACTGCTGGTGCTGCTTCTTCGACAGGTTCCTGCGGGGCACTGAACAAATACAGATTGGTTGGTCTTGTCTGAAAATAGGACTCCCAAGAATCCAATGGTTTATCATCATGCTCCCCATTCAATGGCCGGAAAAGGTTGGTGGTTAAAAAACAATCTTGAAAATGATGGACTTCATCAATGGGAAGGATTATCCAATATATTATTATGGAAAAAAATGATCCAAACCACCAACCAACCGTTAATTATGTGACTCTTCCAACAATTTCAGACACACCCTGTTTGGCTTTGGGGAAACCACCAAGTATCAAGTTGTGTTTTGGGGAAACCATACTGTGGATGCTTGCAACTCATCCACCGGTTGTCTTGAGTCTTTTGACTCTTTCGTCACATCGGCTTCAACACTTTTTTTTTAAAATCTTTTTAATATCTGTGAATCATGGCAAAAAAAAATCAGGGGATTTTTGTTGGGCCATCTTTTAGTTTTCCGGCTGATTGTCCTTACAGATCTTACAGGTAGGATTGGTAGCCCACTGGTGGATTTCGCTACATTTCGCCATCAGTTCCAACTCCATCCTCCACCGGCTCTACCGGCTCCGCGGCCGGAGCTTCTTCCGGCGCTTCTTCCGGCGCTTCTTCGTCGGCCACTGCGGGAGAGGTGGCGTCGCTGTGCACCTCGCTGTGCACCTCGGGCTCCTGGCGTCGATCGGAAGGTGGGATTTTTTTTGCTTGGAGATTCAAGATCAACGCATGGCAGGTCAAATTGGACCTTTGGGGATTTTTCTGAAAAATGGTCTCATTTGACATCGATGAATGCCGATGAAAGTTCAATTGAAATTTAGCCTGGTATCAACAAAACAATCATTTCAGACGGTTGAGTTCAAGTTATCAGAGTGAACCATCTAACACTTGTAGACTCTGTGGGCTTTGCTGGCTTTACCTTGGGCAACCGGAGTCTTAACTGGTTCTTGGGATTCCGACAACGGATGATCATCAACGATGAACCATCAATAATAGGTCGCAGTAGATCCTCATATCTGTGATTGTTCACGGTTCCTGCGCATCCCCAAAAAGGACAGCACGCCTATCCTATCAAACCGTTATATATCAATTATATTCCCCTATTCTTGTATCATCTCGGATCTTTGATGGTTAACTTTCCCACAATGAAATAGAATGATTTAATATGGGGATAACAGTTCGCAAATATGGGGATGACTTTCCATTTTTTTAAGGTTAAAGCTTACGCCCATAGTTGATTGGTAACATTCCCATCCCCATACCCAATTAAACCATATCAACTCGTTATCTCTCAACTATAACTAATTATCCCTATACTTTCATACCCATAGGATCCATGGTGCTGGTATATATGCTAACATGACTGGGGTATATTGATGGTAAATGTTACCATATATAGCATGGTTAAACTCCATATTTGCTGTTTAACATTTCCAACCATCAACCAACAGCGCTTTTGATGATTCACCTCTTCTGCATCTTCCACGAAGTCTGCCTCCTCTTCACCTGCGACCGCTGCATGTGCCGTCCCGAAGTCAGCAGTGACGTTTGAAGCCAGGTTGGTCATTCCCTGCTATAACGCATAATAAACATGTCCAATTCAAGGTTTTGAACAAAGTTGCGAATTTCCTTGCCCAGGTTCTCCATTTTTTGGTACTCTATATATGTATATAGTATTTAGATCATTTTGAGCCCGGACGATTTCGATCTTTTTCGTAATACAAGCATGGCCATGTCCAGTAGCAACTTATAAGTTGTCAAATCTACTGTCGATAGTTCCCTCAATATCAACGGAGTGATTTACCCTCCGGTTTCATCAAAACATGCAGCTGGGAAATGCCAAAAATGAAGCGTCAAAAAGCTGGGGAAAATCACCAAACTCAATGAGAACACCATGTTTTCATCCCGCGGCGAGGTCAGTGGTGATCCATGCTTTGGTCAAGTCCCCAATTTTCGGCTGCTGTTTATCCAATATTTGATGGCTGCCTTTTTGGTTATCACACGTTATTACATGTTATTACCATTTTTTGTTGGTTCACTCTTATGTTTTCTTTCTTGAATCTCATTTTTGGGTGGATAAGATGATAAGACACGGTTTTTGCTCGTGTCTTCGACCAATTCATTATGGTAAAATGCGTAAACTTTGAGACGAAATATCAATAAATAGCCATCAAATGATGCCCCATCAGACCTATCTGGGTAAATTATAATATTTCACTAACCTGAAATAAGGCCCCTTTCCTTCCCAAAAGAGCCCGCGTCCAGCAGCAGCGGAACGCGAGCTCGATGTCCATCGCTCTCTGCCGATTAGGCAGGAAACACTATAAAATGCATCAGCTTGGCTGATGTTCCCTCAACTTTCTTGCCCTTGACGCTCGCCGTGTGTATTTGAAGCCATCACAAATGGATAGCCAATCCTGATCCAGAAGTTCCTGTGCTCTAGGTCGCAGCCATTCCGCAAGGAAAGGGCTGTCGTATGCTTTCCGTCCTGTGAAGTTTTTTGTCACAAAGTCAGTTACCTTAGCTTGATGTGGATATTGAGGTCGTGGCGACACCTGAAATAAGGCCATTTTGGGATGATTCCCCTTACTAACTATGATTATAGTGAGGGAGAACAGTGAGGTCGTTATAATTTACCCAGACCTATCACAAAAACATGGGGCCCCATTTAACGGGGGCCAGTTGTTTCACTTCGCCTTCGAAGTAGCCTTCCTCCAGGTCTTCAAGCCTGGCATCGCCCTGGTGGCCTATCCCGCCCCGGTTCAAGGGTTTGAGTCACAGAGTTCTGAGAGATTTCACATGATTTAAACAACTGGTTGGTGGTTTTCACCATCTTGAAAAATATGAAAGTCAATGGGAAGGATTATCCCATATATGAAATGGAAAATAAAAAATGTTCCAAACCACCACTTTATCCCACTTTATCGGTAGCGCCGTCAGAGTCTCACGCTGGCGGCCCACATGTGGGGTGCCACTAAACAGATGTCAGCAACACCAATGGAAATCTGTGATCACGCATGGCCATAGGTAGGTTCTCGATAGCTTTGGAGCAACGAAAGACACCGCCTGGACTAAATTTCAGAATCCACTCATCAACTGCCCTGACACGGTGCTTGCACCAAGGCACCGCCAAGCAGCCAGTATGAAGAAAGGGGGATTGTGAAAAGGGTCTACAATATGAGTATGCACACCCTTGTCCATGATGACGAAGTGATTCTTTCAGAACTTTGGAAAACCATCGCACGCGGGTCTGGAAGGGGATGGCAAGAAGGTCCAAGTGCGGTGTGTTTTTACCATCATCCCACCCATTCAGCTTCGTAGGTGCATGCTCTCCAGACATCTGAAAATCCAAATAAAGCTGAAACTGCGAAACCCAAATGATTTCCCAAGAGCTATCAAAAGTAGCCTGCCAAAACCAAGAAAGGATAGTTCGCACCACTGAGTCTCCATACCATTTGACAGCTTGAGAGGGAATATGCAGCAGCGCCAAGGGACGCCATGTACCAGGTGGGACACTTGCAGGAGCCCCAACATCAGCCCTTTCATCACCATCAGGTTCAGACTCAGCCTTTATCACTGCTTTACTGATGCGCAGAAGAACATTCTGCACAACACGTGAAAACCGCATACATGCAATAGTGGCATTGACATGTTGATCGAACAAGTTCCAAAACTCCTGGGGTCGAGACCACTGAGCCAAACATGCCGCCTGATCAGCATAGCCATTGTGCACCACACACCATTCCTCCAATGGAGACAGCGCATCAGCCACCCGCCGGTGAGCAGCAACCTTGGAAATTTCAACCTGACCAGGAGAAAAGTCCTGCAAACACTCAAACACTTCCCTCCACAAATCAGAATGCGCACTGTTTGGTTTGGGTTCACTTCCCCGCAAAAGGCGGTGCACGCGGGACACCACTGCTTTGCAATCACTCCACAGAAAAATTTTCCCTTTTTGCAGGCGCATCAGTTTCAACGCTTGCAGGATGGCAAAAATTTCAGCCCTGTAGGAGCTTTGTAGCATACCTGGCAGTGGACCTGATTGCAAAAGCCTGCAGCCCGTGTCATCACATGCGGCAATCACAACTGCCCAAGAAGCAAGCCTACAAGTAGGAAATGCCTGGTTGAGGCAACTACCATCTGTGAACAAATGAATGTCTGCACTAGTGTCAACCACGGGATCAACCTCTGGAACAGCAATGGACGCAAGGCATTGATACCAGGAAAACAGGGTGTATGGCCGCACACTCCATCCATACCCAGTTAGGTAATCTGGTGCACCAGGAATCAACTTCCAAACATCGGCAGGGACATCAGCACGTTCAGGGGCAAATGCTTCACACACCCAAAATCTATGGAATCTGGAATCACTGCACTGGCAGAAGGGGCAAAGAGTAGAGCCATCTTCCTGACAGTGTGATTTACCGTCCTGCGTAATGTGACAACCATTAAGACATTTGTGAAAAAGCTCCTGTTCATCCACTGGAAGGGCCTTGAGAAAAACACGGGTGTCCATGGCATCAGCATACTGCAAATCTTTAAACCCAGGGCGATGTTTAACTTGTTCAGAGACCACATGTTGCCATGCCCACTGAGCACGAAATGCCACTTCCGCCATACATGCATCAAACAAGGAAAACCTGCCAAACACGTCATGAATCCGTCCACCCTCGTCAATGTGCCAACCCAAAGTCTGCAAGCGAGACAACAGGGTAACAGAAATGCAGTTGTCAGGTATACCGGCTGATGAGGACGTCAAGGCAGACAAAGCCGAAGCCACTTGAGCCGCATCCCCACAATCTCGAGCACAACGAATGGTCTGCACAATGGACCAAAACCCCGGATCAACCAATGGGTTCTCAATCATGCCTAACTGCAGCCAAGCATTGCAACCCGCACCATCAGCCCCAAGGCCCTTAACTGCACCTGTGCGCAGGGAGTGGACAACAGCATCCCCAACTGCAGTGGCAGCTACGGCGTGAAGCGCACGCGGCCAGGCCGCAACAAGCAATGCCCGTACTTTGGTGCGGTAGCCACTGGCTGACAATCGCAATCGTGGCCACAAGCCAGTCATAGCATGGACCCGGTCAGTAAGAGTAGCATTCGTGTGCTTTTTGGAAAACTGCGCATGTGCTCCTAAGTTTTTGGAGGCCAGAACTACCGTAAAGCATCGTAAAGCCCTCATCACGCAGAAGCTTCCGTCCAGCAGGGGTGATGGACCAGGCATACGTCTTTTTGGGATCCAACTGCAGGTCAACAGCAGCCACAAATCTGTCCAAACACTGCTTTGCCCCACTCAGCATGGAGCCATGAGGACACAAGACCTGCCAATCATCGACATATGACAGTGCAGTGCACAGTGGAAAGAAGTGCTGCTGCCACACATGAAATGCAAAGTCGATCAGGACCATCGCAACACAACTTAACCCACAGCCTTCGGGAAATCCAGTGACGCTCGGAACTCCTTCAGTCAGTGATCCTCGAAGCAAAAATCTTCGCTTCATTTGAGTCAAAGCACCTGCCCATGCCAAGAGCATGTGCCCAGGGAGGCCTAAATGACCAGCAATTTCAAATACCACCATCCGAGGAAGCATGTTGAAAGCCTTCTGCAAATCGGCAACAACCCCTGTCAACTCAACAGATTGCTGATAAGAGTGTTCGACAGACCAAAGCAGCTTGGACCAAACTTGGGCTGCGTAGCGTCCAGGACGACCACCGTAAAGGGTATCAGGCAATGCAGAATCCAACTGAGACAAAGCCTTTTTGGAATGAAATGAGCTCCAAACCCGATAAAGAAGGCTAAAGACAGTGATGGGACGGAAGTCCGCTGGCGACCCTGGACAAGACACCTTCGCAAGGCTAATAACACGCCCATCCACAAGCTGGGACGGCCATGAACCAGTCTTCTCAGAGTGCAAGTACATGCTACAAAAGACCTGGAGAACATGATCAGGCATCCTTCTGAGGTCAAGCAATGTCACACCATCAAAGCCTGGTGAGGTGGTTTTCTTTTTGTGTTGAAGCACCTGCTTGAAATCATGAACTGTCATGGAAGGCCATTGCAAATCAAGGCGAGGCAAAAAACGTTTAACAAAGGAGATGATTGCAGTCCATCTCTCATGAGGCACGTCGACGTGTCGCATCCAACGGTCCCTCCAGACACCTATGAAAATTGCAGCCAAGTCTTCATGTCTGCCAACAAACTTCGTTTGAGAGACTTCATCCCCAACCGAAACAAAGGAGACATCGGTGGCCCAAATGGCATCCTCAGATTGGTGAATAACATCCAGCGGCTGACCCTTGCAAGAGAGAACTCCATCCGGCTGAAACTCACATGCATGATCCAACACCAACTTCTGCTCTTCGATGTCGACCTCCTCCACCACGGCCCGGATAGGTTGCAGCAAAACGTCAACCCCTGGTACCGCAGGTGGACGAACATCTTGGAAAACCAAATTCGGATTTTGAGCCCTCCTAAACTTGGCATATTGTCTGGAAGAGGCACGTAGTTCCCGTTCAAATTCTCTCAAGGCCATGCTAAGGGATTCAAACATCGCAACAGCAACATTGCCCTCAGGGGGAAAGGTTGGACAAGCCATGGGGGCCTCATGAGTCTTGAAAGCAGAACATGACCACCACTGAGCAAAGCTGGGTACAAACCCTTTTGCACGGACAATGGCTCCCCAAGCTTCGGCTTTAGCAATGCTAATATGGGTGGCAGAGCTGCCAGTCATGCGTGCATAAGCTTGAAGTCTTCTGACCTGTCGCAACCACTGAGAGTGTCTGACCGACGAGCCAAAGAACTCAGGTTGAAAATCACCTTTGCGAGCCAACTTCACAGGAGCAAAAAGGCCACCACGCACTTTCTTGGGCATGCGACGTGCTGCCCTTCCAAGCATGTTGCGAGAGACAGGGATAGGACATTGTGCCTGCGCACTAGTTTCAATCTGCTGCCAAACCTCAGCATACGCCACAGTCAAATCACCTGGTTCAGAAGGCCATTGGAGATCATGCGCAAACTGATTTGGCCATGGAAATTGGTCAGGCATGGGCCACACCCACATAGGAGGAGCACAGCAAGGGGCATGAAACGTACCAACCAGCACTGAATGGTCTGGCCAGACATCATGACGCACATCAGTTGCAAATAACAGCTCCTGAAGCTCAGGGGACAAGTACAAGAAATCTTTCCTCGTCCGTTGTTTGCACGTGTTCTGTACTGGGCAGCCCCAGCGCTCCAAGGCAACATCTTGGATGTCTCTAAACCCCGCATTGGCCAGCATGGAAAAAACAGGCAGACTATCCTGTACAACATTCCAGTCTCCAGCGACCAGCCGTGGCCCTTTGCAAAGGTGACAGACATGTGAGGCAACATGATGCAAAATCTGCTCATTGTTCTTGAGGTAGGAGGGGTAATGACTAGAGTTAGGTTCTCCATAAACCACTCCGCCAGACAACCACACATCTCCCAAAAGGGTGGTGAAAAGCAAACATCGACCCGAATCCTGAACATGCATGGGCATAGCAGAAGGCAAAGCTCTGGTGGGAAACCGCGACAAAATGCCAACTCCCTTCCAGGATGTCTGCGTGGTAAGGCTTTTGCGAACAGAAGTTTGATCAGTGAGACAATACCTGTGAGCTGATTGGGCGGCACACAGCCCAGCTCGAAATCGTGAAACATCTTTGCCATAAAAGTGGGTTTCAGCAACCAACCATAAGTCCCCATAC